TTCTTAAAACAAGCTCCTATTTTTTATTTTCTTTTATTTTTTGTCGCTTTATTCCAACCCACATCCTTCCTCACTTTATGATTTGAAACTTGTCCAAAATTTCCAGGGATAAAGGTCGACTGTAGGTTGAAGGATATTGTCCACATTAATTCCACTCCTTGCCACATAATGAGGCATTAGTTATGGAAACGTTTGTTTAAATTTCGTCCAAAGTCGTTTTTTCTTTTTTCCCCCCTGAGGAATTGTATGTCTGCTGCATTTATATAAGGTTCTAATTCTGGTTCTTTACATTTTATTTTTTAGAGTGCCACCTCTATCCTGTTAGCAGACCAAACCGACTTGGCAAGACTTGAGGCTAAAAGTAACGGCACCGAGGGGCCAGCGACTGTCGCCCCTCCGACTAATGGCTTCTCTGACTTGGATCCAAGCCGACAGAACCACAATGGAGTGAGCCAGCATCTCCTCAACCCAGGTCCAACCAGCAGGGCAAACAAAGGCAGCAGCTCTTCTATTCCTTACATAGACTGCAGCGACATAGACAGTGAATGTGATGTGGGGAAGAGCGGCAGGGCCCCCAGGGGCCACAGTAGTGCAAATGACAGCAATGAGGATGAGCCTTCCAGGCATGAAGGTGGTGCAGGACGCAGAGATAGGAGTCTGTTTGGGGTGGTGAACGGGTTCTATCACACCAACCAGCAAGGGGTGATGCAGCAGGGAGTGATTGGCAATAGAAACGCTGCAGATCAAACTCGGGAGATGTTGAACAGCAGTCACGAGCAAACGAATGACGGCGTCCTTTCAAACGGAGGCTCCTTCCAGAGCCGCCTCCCGCTCCACAGCACGCTATTGGACGAGATCTTTCAGGGTCGAGACAAGCGCGGCATGGGAATCGTTCGCCCGCTGGGAACCGGGACTCGCAGCCAGTGCTCCAGCCCGGTGATCAGCAGCTTCCATCCGCGTACGAATTCGCTCAGCCACGCCGAGATGACCAATGGCCAAAGCCAGCCTCGCTCCACCTCAAGGTGGGACGACGGCGGGCATTATTTCACCAAACGTCCCGGAGTCATCCCAGTGGAAGCTCCCGCCGTCCCTCCGTCCCCCCACTACGGCAGCTACTCCCCGATCCTCTCGAACCGCACGCCGCCACATTTAGCCAAACCGTATAACCTGAACAACAACATGAGGGACCGTTCCGACACTGACCCGTTCATCCTCAGCCAGATTACGTCCACCCCGATCCACCGCGATCCGTACCGCTCCGGGATACAAACACCGTGCTCTGCCCCGACGGAGAGAAAAGCCGCGATGATGAACGGTAACAACGCAGTTCAGGGCCGGGCGAGATCAAACGCCCCCCAGCGGCTGTTCGGCCGCCAGGGGAAGCCCAACGACAACAACAACACCCTGAGCCAGCCGGTCCAAATGATCGACGGGTCCACCAGCAGCGGCAGCGACACCAGCGACACAGAGTCGGACGCCGGCAGCGGTGCGTACAGCCAGCCGCTGCTGTACGGCAACCCCGCGGCAGTGGGCTCAAACAATGGGAAGCTGATGTTTGGGAGTTTGCGGTTGCAGGATGGGGGAAGTGGCGTGTCAGCGGAGCACGAGCGACAGTTCGAGTTCAGTGGCGAAAATGTAGGAGGTCAAGTTTTCAGCTGCTGATCAGAACAATTTCGACTGAATCACTTTGAAAAAAAAGTTGAAACAGAAGCAAAAGCTGCAGTTAAAATCCAACTCAACTTTGAATATTTTTAATTATCTGAATGTAGAGGGATAGAAAAGTTGGGAAACTCCACTAAATAGTAACCTGACTCCGCCAGATGGATTTGCTTCGCATATCCATCTGGAAACCTTCCGTTGAAGTAATTTTGGGAAGGGGGAGAAAATACTGGTTAGCTGATTGGCCTATGTTGGTGATAGACGGGCCAAATAAACCAATCGGATCAACGAAGCATATGACGTACTAACAGAGCGACGACGAAAACACAACCACAAGCCAGGCTACTCTTGCCCAAACCAGTCGGGAGAAGAGCAAAAACATCTTTTCCTCTGAGAAAAGCCTCCAGAGCAGTGTTTTGCTCTTCTTTCAGTGAAGAAATACTCTGTAATTCCGATAAAACTTGCTCGATTGCCACGCTAACACTAGTTTCATCGGCTGAAGCCGGCATGTTTTTTAAACTGAACTGTCGCGCTTCTTGTTGCGTCACACCTCAACCCGCCTCAAAGCCAACGCTGATTGGACGTTTGTTTGGTGAACTGCTCCAAATTTTCTTTAACAGAAAGTAGCCAGACTGATCTGCGAGTGAAACCTTGAAAGCTCGCGAGATCAGGATGGTCTCACAAGGCTAACTAAATAGTGCAATCCCTGAAAAAGAATGTGATATAATTGCACTTAAAAGTAAAAAAAAAATATCTCGAGGACTAGTTAGATTTGAAATAGAATAGTTAGATTTGGGACACCCTTCCTTTCATCAGTCTGAGGGGTGTCCCACTTTTCACTCTCTACCAGGAGCTTTGGATCAATTCAGTCTTAATTAATGAAGAATCTTCTCAGTAATCTGACTGAATTAAACCTGATATTAATTGTTCAGATATGTCAGAAAGCACACAAGCTTTAGTGGGGTGTCCTAACATTTTTGTGAACTTTTTAAAACTCTTTATAGACGTTTTTATAACAGAAATCTGCCGTTTTTTACTACACAGTTGCTTTCTAGATGATTTGTTTTCTAAACCCAACAATCAGAATTGTTTTTATAGCCTAAAGATGTTGTTATGCAGACTCCTGACTTTGCTGGTTCAGCTTTTTATAGTGGAACCTGTTGAGCCAGTTTGTAAATAGTTCAAAAATGTGCTCGGTAATAACCCTTGGGGGTGAATTGCTTCCTTTACAATGTGCCATAAATTTAAATAATGTGTATCTAACATCAGGAACTTCTTTGGTGAGATAGTTCCTGCAGGTCTTCCGACTTTTTCAATTAGTGTTCATATTTATACCTATTCTGTTGAAAGAAAGCTTGTTGATCTTTTTTTAGCTGAGAAATGAGGTAGATTTCCTCTCGTTGAACCATTGATATATTGATTTATTTAGAGGCATTCTACGTGAATTCCTTTGTGTTGAGGACTGTGATGTGAATATATATCCTTAGGAATGATTTGACTTTGTATTGTGCACTAGTGGTTTTTCTTAGGTATTTAATTCAGGGGTGAGAAAGTCAAGAAAGATGGGATTATTGTTTATGGCTGCGTTTATTTATAGGAATTGTTTATGATAAATATAGTCCCCCTTATGTGTAAAGCAATTTTTAACGTTTTTTTCCCAGAGAATGGGTTATGTTCAAGAACTCAATTAGTAAGTGTGTTTAAAATATCAGAACAGGAAGTCTAATGTCCCTTGGAGCACTTTAAAAAAAAATGCTTTTAGTCAAATTCTGTCTTACTGGTGGACAAGGACTATTTCTTCTGCCAGAGATCAGCGGCTCTCACATCTCCCCTACAGCTGTTTCCCCCTCCCCGCGTTGTGCAGCGTTTATCCTGTATGATTTACAAGACTGATTTTATTAGAGAGGAAAAATATGAATAGCTGCTACATAAGTCTGCAAAATTCTACTTCTTTTTATTGAAGAGATCTTTTTTGTTTTAACAGTTTTAATGAAAGGCAAAAAAAGAAAACTGTTAATGCCCGTTGTCGCAAATATGCATCAAACTGTCAATTTAGTCTGCATCCACCCCAATGTCAGTTATTTCACAATTATTACACACCTAGGAACCTTTGGCAAGCACTTATTTCTAGTGGGACTGTTTCCTGGCTGTATATGATACCACTGACTGCCAAAAAAATACTTTAACTTCTATTTATTTATTATAAATCATATTAGTGAAAGTAAGAGTCTTAATTTGGCGTCTGCCTAAAGGCAACACAAAATTTTTTTTATAAACATTTATATCAATTCAGGTGATTACCGGTAATTCAGGGGTTAATCTAAATAAAAGCAACCATGTATCATGATGCTGCCACCACCATGTCTCACCTTGGTTTAAGTGTCCTTTCACTGCCCTGTGTTGCTCCCACGTCAGTTTAGACCATAACATATTTCTGCAGAGGATTTAAGTCAATCCGACTTATCCTCACTGATACCTTTACAAAAAACAAATGGACAGATATTTCTAGTCTTTTGTGACTTCTCTGCAAAATAAGGCAAATTAAAACAATTAAAAATTTTTACACTTATTCTTTCCTCTAATAGATTTGTGCTTGAGATAAAGTTGCATTATAGGGGAAAAGGGTACATAATGATTTTTTATATATATTTTACATCAATGTAAACTGGAGTTTTAGTGCTAATGTGAAAGCTTTAGAGAGCTTCTGTATAGTAAATTCTTTTTAAATATTCTTTTCCTTAACAGAGATCAGATTGTTAGGCAGATCTTAGCTTAGATCTTGTGATTCCTTTTTTTGTTTTTTCTTCATATCTCTGTTTAATTTCCTCACTGTAATTCAGAAACACAAAACCCATAGCTGTCTGCTTGTGCTTGGCTCGGCCCCTGGCATGAACTCTCCTCACAAGGGAACCTGAATGTTATCTTTCACTCTATTTTGGCTGCTCTTCTCACCTCTTAAACTGCAGCTTATACTAGGCTCCTCATCTCCATCTGTCATTTGTTGCCCCTTCGGCTGCTTCTTCTCCGATTTTGTTTTTTTGCTTTCACTGGAAGGCTAAATCAGAACAAGCCAATTCGACTCAAACCTGCAATTTCCACCAGTTTAGGTTATTTTTGTTTATGAATGTACTGCATTGGATTGAATCAGTTTGGGTTATGTGTGCAAGATTTGTTTTCTCCTGCTTTCTTCTGAAACAAATACTTCCTGCTTTGTAAATACATTGTTTATAAGCATGTTTTTTAAAGAAAAAAAATCGGCTTTTTTTTTAACACTGTTTTCACCACTTTCTTGCTGTTTCTATGAATGCATGTTAACCAGGCTGTCACTTTACTCCTTTATGCTCACTTGGCGTTTGTGTTAAGGGCCTCACAACGGTTCAGAATGTTTGAGACGCAGGTGATGAAGTTAAACGCGTAACCAAGCACATGCTCTTCTTTATTTTTGGAGTCGTTGTGCCTTCAAGTCGCCTTGCCCTCATAAGCAATCACCTGCACTGTGTTTATTTCAAACATTTAGAAACCTTTTGTGTTTTGGCCCCCATGCTGGGGATCTGTGCACATGGACAGAGCAGGCGCTACTTGGCTCCAGTTTTCTGTAAACAGAGAGAGGGAGGGTGAAGATAGACAGACACCAGTAAAGTTAATATTAATGCATCATGTAAGTGCACAAAAGATTTATTTGAAAAACGAAGCGTTGATGTTGTCAGATGTAGAAGTCTGCGTGTTGTCACAGCTTGTATACACAAGAATACTGGAGCCAGGTCCCTGTGGTGTCCTTACACTTGCCTGTTTCATATTTGCATTTTCTACCACTTTATTTCACTGATGCTTCTTTGTGATTTTTATTGAAATTGAACATACATACACCGTAACTGTAATGCCACACTAGGGTTCCTTTAGGTAAAAAAAAAAAGAAAATCATGGAGCTATAGATATTTTTTTCTGCTATTTCTTTTCCAAACAAATTATTCTTCAAATTTTTTTTCTAATAAATTAGCTTTTCGCTGCTCTAAATCTCACATTTCACGTTTAGAATACATAAAGATAAATTAATTCATGTTAACCACTTCCACTGGCTCCCTGATTTTTTTTTTTTTAATTCCTAAAAGGCCTTTAATTGTACTTACTTTGTAACAAGCTACTGTGATTTTTGTCTTTTTCTGTAAATTGTAACTTTTATTGAATTAATCAAATGTGTTAGTTTTTAAATTCAATTATCTTTCTTCATATGTATTTTTGCAAAAAATTTGGTAAATAAAGGGAAAATATCGATCTTTTGGGAGGAAAAGAAATTCCGTCAGATGGGATACAAGCTAAAGCTAACAGCTGTTTAGCTTATGTTAGCTTTTAAGTTATCCTGAATATCAAAGTGTCAGTTTTCAAAGGATTAAAGCTAAAAAGCTTGTTTTCATATACATTTTTTTTTTTTTGTGGTTTTTCATATGTGGGCTAGTTCCCGCTAAAACGAAGTGTTAGCATAGGATTTTCATAATAAGAGTAAAGATACCATAGTTTTACAGTGTGACAACACTCATTTTATGCAAAATAAAAGGCATTTATTGACTATGTTTTTTACTTTAGATATTTTAGTCTGGGCTTGAAATAGGAACTTTTTATGTTAAAACGTAGCATACGCAAACCCAAAAGTCAGTCCATTCCTATTTTCAGTGCTAATTTTAGCTAACTGGCTAATAGTATGCTAGCCATCTCAGTAACTTGAACTAATATTTTGAAATAAAGTCAAAGCAAAGTCAGAAAATGTATATTCCGGTTAAATCTCTGCACTTTATGCTGCCATTCTTGCTGTGTTCCTGCTGACTGAAACATTAGTGGCTGCTCTGCATGAACCACATCTGCTTTGTATTTTCTATTTTAAAAGTTGTGATTAAATCACCCTTATGCATGCTGTTGGTTAAACTAAAGAGCTGACTAAATTTGAATGAATCTTTAATTTTCTGGGAAAAATGTGCGGTTTCACTTGTTGTCTATCGCTTTCATAACACTGTTCCTTCACATCTATCGCCAAACTGTTGCTGGATATTTTATTTGTTGCTTCTATTTTTTCCCTTTCTTTTGTCCGTCTAAATTTCTTAAGGTTCTCTGTTTGTGGTGCACTAGTGTCAATAAAAAAACGAGATTGTTTAACATAAAAAGGGACTCGAGTTCTCTGTATGGGCCCCTAGCTCTGCCATGTGGTAGATGATCTGTCATTTGGAGGTTGTTTCACTTTCCAGTGCTTTAACTTCCCTGTTACAATCATCATGTTTGTTGTATTTGGAGTTATTTTTTTTTTCATAGCACTGGCGCATAAATCTTCATTCACTGGTTGCGATGGGTTTACCCACAATCCAGTTTGATCTATAGCGATGGACTTTATGGAAGCTTTGCAAAACTGGGCAAGTATACAGTCAAATGTAGAATCCTGTAGTTTTCGTAGTAGTAGTCGTAGTAGTAGCTGTAGTAACTAGCTGTAGTAGCAGTACTTTTATTTTTAACTACAACTGAAAACCTCATGAAAACCGTTTAGAAATATCTTTTGTTTTATTTTTACAGATTTTATTACCTTGAAGTCAGTTTGCCAGTTCATAACCCCTCTATGTGTTCAACTACTTCCCTTTTGTACTGATAGATTTCATCTCTGCCCATCAGGGAATACGCAGGGGGTTGAAATTAATAGTATAAATGCCAATTTTTTTTTAACAATTTGTGATTTAGCACATGACTTTCTAAGGTCTGGCCAAACCAGAATAACAAAGTGACTTCAAGCTGATTTATTCTAGGGGCTTCCAGTCTGGCTAATTTTGGCAAAAGAAAATAAATACATTTCCAGCCTTAGTTCCTTTTATCTATATGCTGTGTCCATCCTCACCTTCTCTTTTTCCCTTTCATTAATCGCTTTATTAACTTTCTCTCATTTTCTTTCTTGTGGCTTAAAGTTTTTATTGTTTATCTTTGTGTTCTTTTGTTCCACCTTCATCCCCTCCTTCTGTCCATCTCCCTTTACTTTTTGGTGTCCAAGCCCTCTCTTGTGTCCCTTCATTTTTACTTCTTTCTTCCTGTATCCTTCCTTTCCTTGTTGACTTCCCTCCCCTCATTTCTTTTCATTCTATCTCAAGTCCTTCTTGTTTTTGTTCCCTTTTCGCATGTTCTTCCTCCTTGCTTTCCTTTCTAAACCCTTTCCTTTCTTAAAACAGTTGAAGTAAGCTTTAATACTTGTTTTTTTAAAACTCATCTAAACCAACTTTCTGGAACATTGAATCTTGAAAAGTATGGCATTTCCTCCGTAAAACATGCACTGGTACCCTGTTTAGGGTATTTCTTTTTCAGAAACTTGAAACCCTTTGTAATTAAAATAGGTATAAAAGGACCAGTAGGTGGGGTTAACCAAGGCCTTCAGTAATAACCAGTCTGGTGAGACCTCCTTATTCTGGATTTTAATTTAACCGTTAGTAAAAAATCCCACTGGTTAATACTAAAGTTTGTTTGTTTGTTCTAACAAGAAGCATACAGTATCTCTGTAGGTTTAGAAAGCAAAATGTCAAGATTCAACATTAACTGACAGTTGAGCTTATTTTTATAAAATTTAATTAACTCTTTGTCTTATTTAATCTCTCATGTTTAGAAGACTCAGATTGCAAGGAATCACCTCAGGAAAGTCTGCCGGTGGTGGCGAACGGCAACGGCACAGAGGACGGGCAAGGGAAGGGCGTCCCCAGCACGGTGGATGTGGGGCAGACTGCAGAGGGACAGCAACTTTCACCGCTTACCAGCCCTCTGCTCATCGAGGCTGGATACGTCCGCCATGACGATGAAGAGGAGGCGAGGAGGAAGGTGGACACATTTTTTTTTTTTTTTATAAATCATAAACTTTTGTGTTTTAATTGATTTATTTGTTGTTTTTTTAAAGAAGGTAACAGAGTAATGGGGGGTTGTTGAAAATCCACACCGCTTATATTAGTTTGACGCTGTATCTGGACAGAAACATAGCTGTGGTACCTGGATCTGATTTTTCTGTTTGTGTCCAGAAGTTTCCCACAGACAAAGCTTACTTCATCGCCAAAGAATTGTTGACAACAGAGCGGACCTACCTCAAAGACCTTCAGGTTATCACAGAGGTAATAATGATTCTCACATCTCCCCTTTTTCTTTCTGGATTTCCTGCTTTTCTCCTTTAGTAGACAGTTTCCTTGTGAAGTGATAACTGTAGCAGGAGTTTGGATTTGTCTTCTAAAATGTCTTTTTTTCTTTCTTCCATTGTTCCATCCTTCCTACCTTTCCCGTTTTCCCATCTTTCTTTCCTTCCTTTCTCATTTCCTCCCCCTTCCCTTCTTCTCTGTGTCCTTCCTTCATTATTTCCTGTTTCCTAACTTATATCTTGTTTCCTTTTTTTCTCTCTGAATAATTCCTTTTTTCGTTTCCTTTTACATAGCGCCCTTTTTTCCTTATTTGCTTGCATCTAAAGCACTGCATAATTGCACCACATATATTCAATGCTCTGAACTTCCATATCCATGTGTTTTTTTTTGCACAATGTTTTTTTTCTCCCACACTCTTTACATTTGATCACTGATCCACTTTAAGAAATGGAAAAGCTGTACAAAAGAAAAATTTGGTTTTGTGACAATAACAGTCTAAGTCCTACCTTACTCCTTTATTTTCTACTTTCCTTCGTTCCTCCAATGCCTTCTTCCTCCCTTATGTCCTCTTCTTTCTTTTCCTGCTCTCTTTTCTACCCCTTCCTTGTGTCTTTACTTTTCTTCTTCTTTTTTTTCCTATGTTTTTTGAGTCTTTTATTCTGTTTACTCATCTTTTTCTTCCTTCTGTCTGGCATTCCTCCCTTCTTTTTTACTTCCCTGCATCCTTATCCCTTCTTTCATTCCCTCATTGTTTCCTCCTCTGTGTCCCCTATTTCCCTGAACCATTCTGTCCTTCCTTCCTTCCTTGTGTCCTCCTTTATTGCGACCTTTCTTCCTCATGTGTGTGTTTGTGGTTTCTTTTATTATGTGTGATGTGTACAGAGCCAAGGTATGTGAAGGTTAATCTTCTGATGGTCTAGCTAAGCTTTAAAGAGATCGATCAAGCAGAATCTTAAGATCAAAGACCTAAACTTGAATCCTCCTAAAATCTAAAATGCAGCTTCTTTATTTCTCTATAACTAAAGTACATTTTGTTCTTTTTAAAACCCGAGGTTTTACTGTAATTCACAATCGTGACAGTTTCTGTTTCCTTTCCTCAAGCTTTAAACTTACGGCTGCTCTTGTATTCCTTTTGGAAACAGCTTCTGTGCAGGTTTTAAAATGGTCTTTGTAGTGTTTGCTCCCTTGGTGCGTGTTTTCTCTTTACTTTTCCGCCTCCTCTCTGGGTTTGCTTATAAAAATAAAATGTCTACAACATAAATCCTACAATTAGAGGGCAGCATAACATGGGCCAGACTTGGCTCAATTGAACTCTGTTTTAACAGCTTTTCAAAGTAAAATGAAATGAAGAACAACAGCAGGAGTTCTGATTCAGGAACCTGCCCTGAACTTCATTCTGACCTCTGATCTTCCTGTGTAGTAAATCTCTTTCTGCCGATCTTATTTCTCCAATCTCTGTGTTATTTTTCTCACTTGGATCCAGTTTTTATCCCTCTTTGATGTGGAAGGAAGGCGTGCACTGGCAGCTTTTTAAAGCCTCTTAAATGTTTTCTTTGGGTGGCGCTGCTAAGGCCTGAGGTCCCACACCCTCCCCTCTTCCTCCAGTGATACATCTGTGATGCTGGTCTGGGAATTTACCCTCAGTGTTTGGGGGCTGTACACACTCCGGTCATGTGGCTCCAACACTGTCCCCTAACTTCACCTAAGGCCTGATGCACTGTAAAAACGATATAGAAATAAGTAAAAACGTCTTAAATTCAGTGTATTCACCCTTAATTTGAGTAGGTAAATGAGATGGTTTGCCAATGGAATGAGTAATTTTACTCTTAAAATAAGATAATTGGATAAAAGGCACTTGAAATTTTGTTTTCTTATTTTAAGTGTAAATTGTCTTGTTCCATTGGCAAAAGGTCTCTTTTACCTCCTCTATTCAAATACAACAAATGCACTTATTTTAAGATAAAAATTACGTTTCTAGATTTTGATTTTTTTGCAGTGTGTTCCAGGATACATACTCATAGAGAGGAGAGGCTGGATATTTTCCAGATCTTAAACTCGATTGTATTTTCAGTTTTAAAAAATATACAGTTTGTCATTCTATCCTTCTTATGTCCCTGTTATATTTTGTTTTCTTTCCCACTGGATTAATGTCTTTCTTCATTTCCCACCGTCTCCCTCCCTCCATCCCTTCCTTTTGTTTTCTTGACATCCTTCTGTCTATATTCTCCTTTATTTCTTCACTTTTTGTCTTAGCCACCTTCTTTTTGTCCTCCATTCCTTGCTTCCTTTGTTCCTTCTTTCTTAGCTTTTTTCCTCGAGTCATTTATTACCTTGTGGTGGTGTTGTTTTTATTCCATCTTCCTACTTTCTCCTATTGGTTTCTTATCCCTTTTCATCTTTCCTGTCCATAAATCCTGTCTTGTTTCTCTTCCTACCCAGCCTCCTTCCTTAAATCCCTTAAGTCAAGGGGTTGAAGTGATAAATACTGCAGAATGGAAGAATAGAGATAGAATGAAGCAGAATAATGTAAAGTAGTCCCTATATCCTCCGTCAGCCTATCCCTATAGCAGCATAGCAATAGGAAATGCTCAGAATAACCTGAGCTAGTCTAACTGTGAGCTCTGTCAAAAATTTAAGTTTTAAGCCTAATCTTAAAATAGAAAATCTCTTCCTTACTAACATGGTTTTACATCCTAAAATGGGTATAAAATGTGTTTTGATTTACTGAGACAAAATCTTGAGTGGATTTCTTACCATACAGTTTGTTCATCCTCCTTTCCCTTATCGGTACGTGTCTTCCTCTGTTGTCCAGTTCTTCCAGAAAGCTGTGGGGAAAGATGAAGCATTTCCAGACTCTGTTAGGGATCTGATATCCTCCCACTACGACCCAGTCTACAGGTTTCATCAGGGATTCCTCAAAGAGACGGAGCAGCGGCTGGCACAGTGGTGGGCCTCTCTCCTTTGTCTTTTTAGAGGCACAGCAGTTTGGCATAATGTCAACTCAATGCAGAAGGATGTAAAATTGTGCTTCAGTCCATTAAGCTTAATTGAAATTCTTATAAATCCAACAGCTGCAACTTTATTAGAATCTCTTTAACTAGGAAGCATGGTGGTGAAGCTATCATGATGGGAATGTGCTGCTTACGGCTAAACACTTATGCTACTAGAAGGATTATTTCTACTTAACAAGACTTTTAATCCATTGAATATCACTCAGCAGGGTTGTTTAAAAAGAGAGGCTTGCATTTCTTTTAATCATATAGACTGAAGAAGTCCAGCCTCAAACATTGGAGGTCTGGATAATTACTGGGTGGAAGCAATCTGCCAGTTTTACTGAATTTAAACATAGAAAAAAAAAAGAAACTATTTTGAAACCAGACTCTTATTTTAATCTTTTTTTAAATGCTAGGATTGGCAATAATATAATTGAACTTTGTTGATCTCACATTGGAGAAATTTACCTCTGCATTTAACTCATCCCCTTGGGGAGCAGTGGGCTGCCATCGTTGGGCGCCTGGGGAGCAATCAGGGGTTCAGGGTCTTGCTCAGAGAGTGTCAGTCTGTGGGAGTAGGGCTCAAACTCAGAACCTCAGGATTCCAAGCTCTATTCCCTAACCACTAGGCCGCCACTCCCCGTAATAGATTTAAATATATGCTATATATAAATATAACATGCAAAAACGAATCTGAATCTTTATTCTCAGCCATTCATTGATGGACTATTTATTTTTCTTGGGCTCATAGTCACATCGCAGAGTCCTGTTCTCTGATAAGTGTTTGAAATGCCACACCACTTGTTATTTGGTTCTTTTCCTAAAGTGCTCTTCTTAGATTCTGCCAAAAATTGTTTATTATTTTTGTTTACAATCACGCCCATTTTGCTTTGGAACACAGCAAATGTTTCCTTCCTTTACGCCTCCCAGTGTGACATGACCGTTAACTCCTAAGCCTGTCAGGCGATGTCTCCTCTCCTCAAATAGTAAAATTCCTGTTATAGAAAATCCATCTTATTCTCCCATCTAGTGGTAACAATTTGGAACTACAAACAAATCTCTGATAGATGATCCTCTTCCTGCAGGGAGGGTCGGTCCAACGCTCACATCAGGGGAGATTACCAGCGTATTGGTGACGTTTTGCTGAAGAACATTCAGGGTTTGAGGGTAAGGGCGATTTTGGATTCTCTCACAGATGGCGGGTTATAGGTGTTAACAGTTTGTTTGCTTTCTATTTTGGTTTCTGCAGCAGTTGACGGTTCACCTCCAGAGGCATTCGGAGTGCTTGGTCGAACTGGAGCGAGCTTGCAGGTGAGGCAGAAGAACAGACGGAGTGGGGATATTGGAGCAGAGGAGACGGGATTGTGAACTTCTCGGTTTGTTTCCAGGTCGAGTCGGAAGGTGGAAGCCCTCTGCAGGGACTTTGAGCAGCAGAGGGTTTGTTACCTGCCTCTGTACATCTTCCTTCTGAGGCCTCTCCACCGTCTGCTGCACTACAAGCTGATCCTGGAGAGGCTGTGCAAGCACTACCCGCCCACCCATGAGGACTTCAGGGACAGCAGAGGTACTCCTGGTCATCCCTGCTTGTTTTCACTCTTTTTTTTAACGTGCCTCTAAAATGCAGTCATCTCCAACCCTCCAGCTGCTCTGGCAGAGATCTCCGAGATGGCGCTCCAGCTTCAGGGCATCATGATGAAGATGGAAAACTTCCAGAAGATCTTGGAGCTGAAAAAAGATCTGACCGGCATTGAAAACCTGGTGGCGCCTGGAAGGGTCGGTGCTTTTTGTCTCCATCTCCTCTAATTTTCTTGAATTTGTTGAATCTTTAGATGGGCAAACCGGATGTGAGAATTCCTGAATTGTTTGTGTTGGACTTGCAGGAGTTTATCAGGTTGGGTTGCCTCAGCAAACTGTCGGGGAAGGGCCTGCAGCAGCGGATGTTCTTCCTGGTATGAATCAGAAATGTTGTTATCTGGAATTTGATGTCAGTTTCTTGCAGGTCTGGAGTGTAGGATGTTTATCTTTAGATAAATGAGAGCATTTACTGTCAGCTAAATTTTGTCTTTTCTTGCTGCCATTGTGATCCTTCCTTGTATCTCTCCTTTTTTTCCTGTCCCTGTCTCCTGTCTCATGTTTCTTTCTTTCCCACTTTTCCGTCTTCCCTGTTTTTCCTTTGTTTTTCTTTCTGTTGTTCCCCTTTTCACCCCCATATCCTTCCTTTGCCTATTCTTTTCTTTCCGTTATAAACTTAGGTCGAATTATTCTATTAAATTAGTTTGAAATGTAATGTAACAGTCAATAAACAGGGACTTATTCCTGATTAATGTGTAAGAAGGTTTTGCTTCTGAAGTTAATCTTTTGGATTATTACTTTTTCCTCCAGTTTAGCGATTGTTTGATGTACACCAGCCGAGGGGTGACTCCGTCTAACCAGTTTAAGGTCCATGGGCAGCTGCCTTTGTATGGCATGACGGTGTGTGTGTGCAACTTTCTCCATCTTTGAGCAAAAGAAGGAATGTTGCCTCTGTGTTAAATCTCACGGTTTTCATGCATTTCTTATTGGATGCCGTCTCTCACAGATTAGAGAAAGTGAGGAAGAGTGGGGAGTCCCTCATTCGTTCACGCTGTTTGGTCAGCGGCAGTCTGTGGTGGTCGCTGCCAGGTTGGTGAATGCCATTACATAGAAAAGCCGATCTAACTCTCTTCTTTTTTCGATTGATGAAGAACCAGTGGTTTACATGTCGGCCTCTGTTTCTGCTTTGTGCGTTTCTTCAGCTGTGCTGCAGAGATGGAGCGTTGGGTGGAGGACATCAGGATGGCCATTGACCTGGCAGAACAGGGCACCACTCCGAACACCGACTTGCTCTCCACTGACAGCAGTAAGATGCTCTTTACTGACTATTACTGAGGTTCCCATAGACCGTAGAGGTGCCGTTTCACCACCTCTGACCCTGTGGTGTCCTGTACCGTGTTCTATCTGATGAGTCAGTGGGTCAGAGGATACGTCCTAAAAGCCTTTGATCAGTCAGCCATTATTCCCCTGTTCTTTGTTCTTTTGAGCGGAGCTCCTGTGTTTGATCCCATGATAACAGCTGCTCTAACGGTGAGAGAACAGATGGCCCATTTAGCATCATTACCCCTGATGAAAGCCGACAGTTAGAATGGCATTAAAAGAGTTAAAATTACATAAAAATTCTCCTTAAAGTTCAATTCCCACACAGTCTTGACGGATGCAGACTATCAACCCATCCGTTCATTAATGAAATTAAGTTACTTCAGAAAAGTTGCATCAAGGTTTAATGAGCCTCTTACAATGTAAAGGCATGCCGGTTGGTGGATCCTCTGCATCGTATCGGCAAAGATTAGTCTTTGCTTTCCAGCTCTTGTTATGTGTAGTACAGATTGATGTTTTGTTATCCTGACTTTAAAGTGGGTGTAAGTTTATTTTTTTGTTTGTCTCCCTCAGAGCCTTTGGAGGAGGTTGGATCCGAGCTGGAGTCTGAAGAGGAGCTATGCGGCTCACGTTCATCCCTGGAGCGTCAGAGCCACCGTGGCAACACCACCGTGCATGTCTGCTGGCATCGGAACACCAGCGTTTCCATGGTGGACTTCAGCATCGCTGTGGAGGTGCTGTATCCCCTGTTATCTGCTTAGGTCTTCTTCTTTCTTAGCACTTAGCATTACACATCAAATTGGTGAGAGATTTAGGACAGCAAAGTGTAAAATGAAGCAAAAAGCTTTCCCCTCTTTCCTTAAATTGTTCAATCTCAGGTTACTATGGCTACCAGGGGTGATGTCTATTGAGCCTGGGGTTTTCTGTTTTTTTGTGTTTGCAGAACCAGCTCTCAGGTAACCTGCTGAGGAAGTTCAAGAACAGCAACGGCTGGCAGAAACTCTGGGTGGTCTTCACTAACTTCAGCCTCTTCTTCTACAAGTCCCACCAGGTGAGACAAGCATCTGAACAAGAAAATGACAAGCGGTTCTGTGATTTCTTTAGCCGTAAGCTGTCCACTATCTTCTGTCCCCCACAGGATGAGTACCCGCTGGCCAGCCTCCCACTTCTGGGCTACTCCGTCACGGTCCCGGCCGAGTCAGAGAACATCCACAAAGACTACGTCTTCAAGCTCCACTTTAAATCCCACGTGTACTACTTCAGATCGGAGAGCGAGTACACCTTTGAACGGTGGGTGTTCACAAGGCACAGGACTCTTACAACAAGTAGAAATGTCCTGAAAAGTGCAGAATCTGATTGAAGAAAGAAGACACACACCCAATTGACTGTCCTTTTATCCACAGGGCCATCTGCTTAGCCACCTATGCCCGTCATTTTAAAGATCTAAAATTAAAAAGTACATGATTATTACCAAAATGAAATGAAATTTGGTCATAATCAGCAAGGATCTTCTGTTGTAGTCTGTCTTACACCAGATCGGTAGAGAGCTTTGTCTGAAGACACTCTGCTGGTGTCTTAACAGTCTTTTGAAGAAACCCTTACTGTTGTCCCTAATGTTCTTTATTTAACTGAGAAAGTATCTGTGTTAAATAATCTTCAGAAGTCCCTAGAATAGAGGAAGAACAGGAGTTCCTTGTTTAAGTATCATCGACTATCATTCCACCCAAAGACTCACCCAATAATACCACAGATCACTCCACCCATGGTTCCATATCTCTATCATTCCATCTATCAACCCAAACTTTGACCCATCCATCCGTCTATCAAAACAACTGACACTAGTCATCACCAATAAGTCCCCTTAAAACTGTTAAGGTCAAGTCATGGGACATGTCTTGGCCTTGGGTATTACACTTGTCAGGGGCCCCTGTCAGAGGCCCCTTAGGGCAGTGGTTGTATGCCTGCCCACCTGTAGACTCATTCATGCAATCATTCATCAATCTTTTGATTGATCAATGGATCAGTCCAAATTGGGCAAGTCGTTGAGGACTTTTAAGACAAAGCAGAACACACCTTTAGCTGTTAGCTACATTTGTGTAACTTAGGTTTTTTGTAGGTCTTTTTTGGAAGGCTGTAGTCCCAATTGGACACATTCTCCATGTGCATTTCCATCGATTAATGATGTCCGTAAGGCTGAGACCTATCCAGATCCAATGCAGCAGTCTGAAGCTCCTGTCCTACCACCCTTCCTTCAGTGTTTCTGTCTGTGTACCTACTCGTCCATCCACTGAACACTCCATCAACTCATCCTCTACATTATTTATTTTCAGGGTTTTGTTTAAAATGGTATATTATTGTATAAATATCTACAGTTGACATTCGTATTGGCATTTTACCTATGAGGCAAGAATTTACTCAGATATTAGAATTTTTATTATAATCACTAGGAAACCTGGAGACAAACTGAAAATATGAACTGATCTTCATCACAAACTGACTCTGAGTGTTTTTCAGGTGGATGGAGGTGATTCGAAGTGCCACTTGTTCCGCCAGCCGTCCCCTACTGAGCTCCAGGAAAGATCTTTACTGATGAATCAAGTGAAGCTATTGACTTGTCTTGGAGCTTTTTACTCCCACTTTTTTACACACAAACACTCTTTGGTCCTTAAAGTTTCTGTCACACCAGTCTTCCTCCGAGTTCTTGATTCTGTTTTTTCTGTGCCAATCTGGAAGATACTGGTGATGTTTCTGACTATATTCCCACTATTCAATTCAACATTTAGGACAGTTAGAAACCATGTCCTTCTTTTTGCAATGTGTGTTTTTGTACAGTATTTTGATAACACTGTGAAAATGTTTCTTTTTTTTTTTTTGGTCCCCTTTTCATTTGTCTTCACGGAGAAGAACCACTTTAAACCTGCATCCAAAGCCAACAGATATTTCACGTCTTTTATCGCCTTTTGTCTAGTATTTTTCCAGCTTTCTGGAATAATTTTAAAAAGATTGTGTTCATATGAAAAATAAACAACGTCAATCACAGAAGGTGTCTCTTTTTACTTGCCAAGAGAGCAAACTTTGATCCGCTGTAGGATTTTTTTTTTAAATATTGCAAAGTGATTTTTGTCTTTGGATTTAGAGAAGGCTATAAAATGGTGTTCCCCAAGGCATCGTGTTGGGGTCCTGTAGGATCATAGGTCATAGATTATTTTTTTGTTTTTAAATAAGAAAAGCAAAGTATCTGTATTCTCATAATTAGGTTGACCGTGTTCCGAGTACAGGCGGGACTCTAAAAATGGATCCACCTTTCCGTTGGATATCTCTGGTTTTGGAACCTTATGGTCTCATCTTTGTTTATGAGAAAGGATATCCCTCTGTTCATGGTTCACAATCAATCTATGTATCAGCTTGGATGATTAGAACATCAAGACCTAGCTTCTCTGCTAGTAAATGTTGGTGAAGAGAATATGACATGCATTAAACTCAAATACTTCTTTGTGAAGGACTCAACATATCTTAACCCCTTTAAGGTCGAGAGCCCAGGATGGGTTCGACATGACCATTCCATCATATCACATAGCCTTGACTAAGCCAATTCTTTGTGGTATCTAAAAGTTCTCTAACACAAACTGTTCCCATTCAGCCCCTTATGACCAGTGTACCCATCTTTTGGTAGCAACCACCAGCAGGATACTAGTTACACCCCAGTACACCAGGTCTCCCCAGTCAACATTTCTCAGTCCTAAGGAGACTGTTCAGGATGTGAAGGGGCTATATTTCTAATATGGACCAAACTGTCAGTGAAATGTTCCTGACAGCTTGTAAAAATCTGTGCTCCAAATAATTAAGGCAGTTCTGAAGGATAAAGAAGTTCCAACCCAATCCATCAACTTTTAATAAGGTTTTTGTCCTGTGATGTCTCTGCTCTTTAGTTTGTGGCACATTGTCCTTGGATTAACCCAGTAAATTTCCAGGGGGTGTTGCAGGAGTGAAAACATGTTGCCCCGTCTTTATTTGTGGAGGACAAAAAGCTCTTTTGTGTCATTCAGCTTCACTTTCAGACACGTCAGCATTTTTCATTGTGAATTGGACGAGAGGAGACTACTGACATAGTCCCATCGCACTTAATGAAGCATTCAAAGGCACTAGAACAAGTAGGGACTTGTTTAAAAAAACAAGAAGCTACCTCTGCTGGCTTGATGTAATGATTAGCTTTCAATCTGGTGAAAAAATAACATTTTTCTAAAGCAGATGAAATTTCTAATGTAATGAAAGATGTTTCTGGTGCTAAGATACATTTGTTACAGTTTACACGATAAAAATACTAATATACTGTGTTTCATTTTAGTCTACAGCCCTGCTGTGATACATATGACAGACATTTGTTGACTTAATGAATAGGAGTAAAAAAGGTTGGAAAGGCTTTGAAAAGAGAAATAAATTTCAAATAGGCTCCAAGGCTTCTATATAGATGGAGAACATTTTTAAAACATTGAATAACTGGATTTTTGGTTTAAATTTTATCACTCATAGTTGAAGAGTACCCATGAAAAAGACTTAAGACTTTATTATACTATATTTGCAAGGATTTAGCAGCGTCTTGAGTGCTCCCACTGAGAGATGTTTCTACACACATTTTAAGCTTGTAGACTTAAATTTTTTCCATTAAAGGCAATATGAAGAAACGGGTAAAGCACGTTGACAGTTGGTTAACACTCACAAGAAATAAATCTTACAATAAAGGCAGAATTCATGCACCTTAAAGGTGAAGATGTCTTGTTAGCTGTTGAAGATGCTGGTAAGAGGAAGCAAAAGAAATATATATCACTGGTTTCTTTTAAGATCAGTCTGTTTTAACTGAGCTTTAGTTGACCTCTCTTGATCATCTGCTCGGTTTGGAACCAATTCAATTCAGTTTATTTATATAGCGCCAATTCACAACACATATCATCTCAAGGCACTTCACAGTTCACCAGATCATACAGTCAAATTGATTTAAAGTTTTCTATCTAAGGAAAACCAGTTGATTGCATTGACTCAGACTCAAATACAATCCCTCACACTAAGCATGCTTGTAGCGACAGTGGAGAGGAAAAACTCCCTTTTAACAGGTGTCCGAATCCTGCATCTATTACAAAAAAGCTTGCTTATTCACCTAAGCATCTTGATTCCTAGGTTAGGGATTATAGTCTAATATGTGGAAGAAACAGGATAAACTTTGTAACTAGAAGGGACACAGCTTTGGATTCAATGTCATAATTTGCCCTTCTCAGCACCCAGAGGCCACAGTCCCTGACATCCACTCAACAAAGTAAATTACAGAACATGGTTGTAAGCCTCTTTTCCCAGTCCTCTGTGTGACTTTCAAAATATGTCTCAACCTCAATGGCCCGACAGTGTCCAGAACTTGAACCTCATCAACTCCTGGTACCCTCTAGTTGGGGAGCTCTTTAATTACTATAACCACCGAGTCAAATTGTGATCGCTAAAGCAATGAAAGCACCAGAGAAGGAATCATTAACCACTTTAGTGTAGACAAGACAAGATATTTTTATTACATATGAACATGTCTCAGACTTTACTGCTCTTACAGCTCTACAGCTAATAGTTGATTGTCTCCTAGGTAATTGGTCATAATAAGATAACATAGACTTTCTGATCACTTTTTGAACAAACAAACTAGAGATCTTACAGAAAATCAGGCTTGACAAAACAAAGGAGCTATAAAAAAAGACACTAACACAGTTCTAAAAACAGACTATTTCATCAGTTCTATCAATTGTGACTCCTTTCACCCAATATCAGCAGCAGGAACTCTTGATCCCCTTTCTATGGATTTAAAGGCAGTAACAGTACAGTACTCATTTGCACAGAGGTAGAAGTCTAACTTCACCGGGCAGAGGCCTATTTTCGGTCTTCCCTCAGTACAAACTTTAGGCTATGATCTCCGTTGGAGTCGTAGCTCTCGTACGTCGGCAGCGAGGGCCAGTCCGGTTGGTAGGTTGTGGTGCTGTACACAAACGCCTCTGTGATGCTTCCAGGTGATAGCTTCTCCTCCTTCTCCTCTCTGTCCGCCACCTCATTGACTTCCAGCTCTACAACTGTCCGCTGGTACATGCTGGGGACCTTCTCAAACCAGTCCAGATATTCCAGCATCTTTTCGTCCACTCTGTAGATCTCCCCATGGACTCTATTGCCTTGTCCCGGGAGGTTAAGGAGGAAGGGGATGTTGTACTTAGTGGCGATCACCAGTGGGTACTTCTGGACGGTGACGGCTGTGGCAAGAAACTCTGCCTTTCCATTGTTACTGTCTGTCATGTAAGGGTAGTTAGGCTGGGCCCTCTTTAAGGAGCCGTAAACAAAAACAAGATTCATGATAATAGAAGGCACCTGAGGAAAGGAGGAGAAAAATACATATGATTCTGTCTTTCAGTTGTTGTTTTGTTCAAAGCCAACCCAATATAATCTTGTTAGTTGGACCAGTGCAAGATTATATTTGTACTCTCAGGAAGTAATTATCTACCAGTGTCATTCATTCAGCAGATGGCCGCTCACACTGAGCCTGGTTCTGCTGGAGGTTTCTTCCTGTTAAAAGGGAGTTTTTCCTCTCCACTGTCGCTACAAGCATGCTTAGTGGGAGGGATTGCATTCGAGTCAATGCAATCAACTGGTTAATTTGACTGTATGATCTGGGTCAACTGTAATACTTCCCGAGATGATATGTGTTGTGAATTGGCGCTATAGAAATAAACTTAACTGAATTGAAACTGAATAGAATTCATCCCAGTATCATATGTATAATTGTAAATTAAAAACTGCTGGATCTGTATTTAAATTGATCTGCTTTTCTTTATTATCCTATCCCAGCTGATTACCATGATATCAATTATTATTTACACAACCATATTCTAAAAATAATGTTTAATAAAAAAGCAAAAATAAGGTACTGTAATTAGGTAGATAGATATTAAAGCACAGATTAAAAGGGTCACTGGTTACATATCTGTAATATTAGCATAAAGTAATCATTAGTATTATCTTTATTCTTGTACTACAGATTTAGGATGGTACATATGCTGGTACACATATAGAGTAAATGTGGGCCAAGTACTACACCTTGTGGCACACTTGGCTGCGGAAATGTCAGAATTAATTCTTTTCACCATCAAGCAACTTATATTGGAGAATCATTAAAGTACATTAAAGATCTGTACAACCCAGTTAAGAATGTATTGACTTTTCTGCTAAAGAAGATTACATTTTCGGCAAATCAAGCCTTTTTTCCCCACCAATGCTCTTATTTGGCTTTTATAACTCAGGATGACTTCAATCCATCTCTTATTGTTCTTAGTTATGTACTTATACCGGTAACTAATAAACTAGAACTAAATTCGCACAACTAGCTGCAAACATTGAGTTGGTTATATTTTCAAAACAACTCTGAATCACTGTTTTCAAGCATTCATTCTATTGTCCTCACAAAGGAGAGAAATAAAAGCTGGTATTTGAAAGCAATGTATGTTTTTTGTCATTTTTAGGGGAGAAAAAAATAGATCTTTTGAAAGGATTATATTTTTAAGCCATATCGCCAATATTTATCATCAACAAAAATAGACCAAGCTAAATTACAGAAAAATAACCTTGTAACTGAAATTTAACTAAACCTAATAAATGTATGATTATTTTTTTTTTACTTTCAGGTCTGTAACTTTGACAGCCTAATGTTAAATCTGAATTGTTGACCTTCAGTGCTTTTAACAAGACCAGAGCTGTTTCATATCATTCTTAATGCTACTTATCCATTTATTATATATTTATTTTTATTATATACTATTTTAGCACCTTGGTATTAAATGGTTACTGCAATGGCGTAACGACACAACAATAGGCCCATAAGCAACATTATCTGGGTGGGCCCCATAAAGTGCGACACTCTGGATTACCCATAATTCCAAGATGTAGTGTAAAAAAATAAAATACTCAAATACATCGTTCTTTTAAGATTTTTATTGCGGTTTGACACGTTTTATATCATGAACTATAGACAGTTATTAACATAGTAATTAAAAGTACCACTGTCTGCTTTGCTATTGGTGTCGTGTTTAAACAGCTCACCATCATGCTGACATCTGACATATGTCGGGGTATAAATACGAGTCGGTCGGCAATTACACAAATCAGATCGGTTTTTAAGAGGAGTTTATAGCACCCTTAAGGCTGAAATCAGGTGTCTTTCTACGCAATTGCTCCTACTCTCACTGAATACCGATATTTAAGAAACTGGATTAGTGGATAGTGCTTGATTATTTATTACATATTTTCAAACACATTTTTATCGCACAGTGTCTTTACCTGAAAATCCAAGATAAAAGTAAACAGGTGCAGGGGTCTTCTTCCCGGAAGCAGGAACGTGTTTAAGGAGTTAATGGGAAGAAACCACGTGCTCACACATGCGCACAATCTACACAGATAGTAACTTTTGGTGTTTTCTATAAACCTCAGTATATCCTTACTTTTTCTCCTTTACTTTTTTGGTTTAAAAATAAAAACTACCCATTTGCTTTTATCTTCAATACAAGTCAATTTAACTTGATTCCTCTGATTCTGTTGACCTCGGCTGTGATTTATAGTCATATACTGCCATCTACTGGAAGACAAAGGTACTGTTCATTTAGAAGGTAGACTGATTAGAAATGTTGCTCTACAAAAAAATTGGTAAAATCTTTGTCTTTCATCCCCCTACCTATGGGGATAGTAGTAGTCTGGTGAAGGAGCAGTCACTAAATTGATCTGTCATTGCGCTCTTTGGAACACTAACCAGTGTTTCAAGCACTGACATTGGCATTGTGAGTTTATTACAGCCTTATATTACCTACCTGTTGCATGTCAGAATTAATGTTTTCCCCAGTAGTTCTGTCTTCTGTCAGGAAATACAGTTATCTTTATTCTGCACATGGAAAATATTTGGGAAAGGGAGTTGGGTCCTCGATCTAAGATCAAAATGTAATATTTTTATAAAGCTAGAGCCATGGATGCCTCCTTATCTGTTAACATGTATAATGTAATGATATGGCAGACTGAAGTTGTATAAGATGCTTCTTTAACTGTGAATCGTGCCACTTCAAGAGATACAGTAAGACCCCGGATGGTAAGCAGCTGCATTCCGTAACTCAAAGCAACTTCTCTGATCTGAGTAAGATTATAATTTCTATCAAAATCTGTTGTCTTTTCTCCTTGTTATTTACATTATGAGGTGTTATTTAAAGAGTTTGTTCTGAGTGATCTCATTTCAGGAAAAAGAACCCAGAGAAAGAAAGCTCCAAGGTGTAAACACAGCTTCCTATTAACACTAAGGTACTATCAAATAAAGGAAATAAATGCTTGATAAATTTGAATATGGCAAAGATCTGGTGTAGGTGCCATCAGAGTTTACTCATTTCAATATTTTAATATTCAGTTAAAACAAGAGTTAGTACCTACTTGTATTAAAATTAAACGCTCAATCATAAATAACTTTCAGTAAATTTATATCGTTTATGTACATTGGTTAAAAAGCACGTTAAAATGTAAGGAGAAACCTATGTTTTTTGTGCTGCATGCACCTGTTTTTCAAGGAGTTTCATCAGAAAGCTTTAAGACTATTTTTGTAAGAAAAGCTGTATAAATTATCTTCATTCCTCTGGAGTTTATGCGGCCAATGAGTTCTGACAGCATTTTTTTGGGGCTTTATAAGACGTGTCAACAATAAATGGCTATTAACGCCAAAAGAACAACGTTGAGCCTTGATTATCTCGAGAGGAGTAACATCTGGTAAACAAGTATAAGAAAGAACCCTGGAGACAAATAGAAACTAATGACAGATTTCTATCGCAAGCTAATTAATAGTTTTATTCCTTTTGGTGGAAGGAGGTTTTCCATCAGCTCAGCAGAAAAATCTTCACTCCTCCCTTTTCAGCCTTTAATCTTAATCTCTATCTTAATATAGATGTAAAATGTGCTTTTTACTATGTTAAAAACTAAATAAAATGTATTTAATAAAAGAGGAAAAACTGTTGGGTCTAAAATGTAATAATCTGTTTATTTAAATGTAATTTTAAATGAATGTTTAAGGAAGGGTCCATCCACCTTTCTGATCGGCCATATTTCTGTCATTCTGTATAAAATTATTTAAAAAAATCCAAAGGGACTCCTCCAGAATAACAGACGCTCGCAGCAATATATTAACATCTTTTTAAACTATTCCAGAAGTACTATTACATCTGTATTGCTCACACCAAAAAAAATCTAACAATACAGTAGAAAAGTTATTACACTAGCATAAAAGAAAAATAATATTACACTTCTCTTAAAAAAATTGCTTGTTACTATATCAGGGATTCTTTAAAGACATTTTAGGCATTATTTCCCCACCTTTCTCCCTGGATCTGAAGGAAATATGATAATCAAGGAATACAGCAGTTAAAACATTTATAAAGGTGTCATTCATGTCATTTTTCCAACAGATAAGGCAAGGCAAGTTAAGGCAAGTTAATCCACACATACAAAGTAGAAGAAACAAGCTTGAACATGTTTTCTTCAGTAGTGGAGTCTTGCGGCGTCGGTTTGCATACATGCTATTTTAGCCATGTGCTTTATTATGTAGGAAAAAATGTACCTGCTACTTTCCATTTTAGTCTTATATGTTTCTTTTAAAGTAAACCATAGGCTTTTTTGACTTATTTAATTAATAATGCCAGCCTCTTCCTGTTTGTCATATATTCAATTCCACTTCATTTGCGCACAGATTTGTTTTGGCTTAACATGTTTTTGAAAATGATTAACATCAATGCACTGAAGCCCAGTTTCGGTCTTCCCTCAGTATAAACTTTAGGCCATGATCTCCGTTGGAGTCGTAGCTCTCGTACGTCGGCAGCGAGGGCCAGTCCGGTTGGTAGGTTGTGGTGCTGTACACAAACGCCTCTGTGATGCTTCCAGGCGATAGCTTCTCCTCGCCCGTCCCTCCTGCCCACTCACTGATTTCCAGTTCTACAACTGTCCGCTGGTACATGGTGGGTATATTTTCAAACTCATCCAGGAATTCCAGCATCTTTTCGTCCACCCTGTAGATCTCCCCATGGACTCTATTGCCTTGTCCTGGGAGGTTAAGGAGGAAGGGGATGTTGCACTTAGTGGCGATCACCAGTGGGTACTTCTGGACGGTGACGGCTGTGGCGAGGAACTCCGCCTTTCCATTGTTACTGTCTGTCATGTAATGGTAGTTAGGCTGGGCCCTCTTTAGCGAGCCGTAAACAAAGACGTGATTCATGATGATAGAAGGCACCTGAGGAATGGAGGAGAAAAAAAAACCTATAATGAGTTTTTTTCTTGCTATTCTTTTATTCTGTCCATAAACATCCAAAAAAAAGGGTTTGTCCAAGATAAATTGTTGGATCACGCCCTGGACAAACTGGTTTCAATCAAACTGAAAGGTAATTGGAGCAATCCACATAAATACTAAGCATTAACATGCATCTAAATGTGATTGAAAGCTGCTGGTAGATATAAACTGAATGTGGCCAAGTAGTGGTCCCTGTGGAACACCTTTGGTTCCTTCCGCCTTTTTGCCCTGAGCTATTAAGACGCTTCGTGTCTAAAATTCAGGAAGTAAAAATGGATGAAAATGCTGATTATTTATGTTATATTCAGTTGGATAAAAAAAAACACTTTGCAGCTTTAGAAAAAATTCCTGACAATAGAAATAAGTTGAATATAACTTTGTAAACTGATATTGATCGTTTTTTTTGTGGAGGCGTTGGTGTGCAGATATTGTCATTTTATATCTAAATCCCCTAACTTTAATGAATTCATAGATTATATACAAAAGGCATTGTAACAATGATTTTGACCGTCTTTAAAAATAAAAAAATATTCTAGATTTTAAATTAAAAACTCATTTATTTGACCCTTCCTTATGGCAAAGGAGCAGGAAGAGGATAACGTAACACAAACAATTTGCTCTGTATTTGTATTGACAATCTCTAACTGACAAAGATGCCAAACACAAATTTACTTTAAAAAAAACCGAGAGAACAAACTCCTCTACCCTCCAGTGCATTTCTCAAAACGAAAAGCGGACTGGTTATTTACTATTACTGTATTAGGAATTCATGTAATCTATTGGGTTCAGTAACCTGCTGAAATCCCCTTCCGTTGTTAAAATACTTAAAAAAATTTAATGCATTTTTATGATAATTAAAAACTAGGTGGTCTTAACTTAACGGTAAAATCATAGTCTATTTTCATGAATATATTTAATGATACATTTCTCAGAAATGACTCTTACAATGTGCAATATGGCAATTTGTTTTGTTTTTTTGTCTTTTTGAGGTTTTCCACCTACTTAAATAATGATTAACTGTAAACAACACAAGAAGAAAAAAAAAAAAAAAAGGAAAAGATGAAACAAAAGTTTGGTCATTGAGTGGAACCCAGTTAATGTTCAGCTTCAAGTGTTAAGAATTAATCATTTGACAACAATTAATCATTTAATCTGTAAAAAGAAACAAAAACACACTGCAAAAGCTCTTATTCTAAGTATTATCTAATCCATTGTGTAAAAAGCTATGATAAGAACTGCTGAACAGTGCAGCTTTGAGTCTAAAGTCTCAAATAAAAAGGTTTATTACTTTACTGCTGCTATAGCTGCGCTGTGGCTCTTTGCAGCAGCAGCCCTGATAGGGTGTTATTTATATGGATGGTGCATCCTCTTAATAGAGACATATTTTTGAATGGGGGGAAATAAATTATTAGATCACTAAAACGTCAAATCTACTTATATTTTTATAGATAAATGCATTTGCGACATCTAATCCATCTCTGCAACAAAAAGGGCTGTTCAATGATATTTATATCATGTATGATTTACTGAAATTTGAAATCAAAACACTTTAAATGATTGATCGCAAACTACATTATTTACTTTTTCTATAAGCTACTTTTTTTCTTCATTGTGAAACCTTTACTTAATTCATAAAAGCTGCATCAAATAACTTTCCCTAATGATCCATACCAACATTTTACATAGAATTCAATAACATGTTTTTTAACCTTTATAATTTGCAAAACAAACTTTTAAAGGTTATTTTTCTCCTTTAGGCTATCAAAGATCATATAATAGTTTATAACACTATTTCTGTAAATTTGACTATTGTTGCTTTGCAGCGTTAAGGCCTTTAAACATGCATGTATTCATGTCAGTTAGTACAATATTAAGCGATCTGCATAAGAAATACTTATTAAATAAAATTCCTTTATTTTAATGAATTCCTGCTGGTTATTAAGTACTAAAGCATAAACCAGTGCAGACGTCTTACCTTGCACGAGGAAAAGAACAGGTTGGACTTTTGTGTCATGCGGAATAATCGCATTTTCCTCGCGCATGCGCACAAGCGACTTCAGCAAGGACCACTGACGTCAGCTCTGACGCTGCGTCTCTCCGACCTTCTTTACTCAGTAATAAACATTTATTAATTGATTATAATAACTAGGAAGAAAATTAAAAAATACAAATACTCTCTAATGTACCCAACCATGTGATTAAATTCAGATTTTATCTATTTAATTCACACGTACTTATTTGTGCTATTAGGCTTTGTTTTAAATTAATTATTAGCTATTTAAAATGAGATTTCCCCTGTTTTTTCTTTTTTATTCCTATTATTCCTTTTATTTCTATTTCATTTTTTTGTGCATTTCTTTTTTTGATTGACCAGCGGTAGATTTATACTGAATTTAATGTAGGTTTTTGTTGTTGTTATTATAATCTTGTTTTCAAAGTGATTCTAAAAATAATTCCTTTAAAAATTGCCCAAATGTTTTTATTCTTCAATTAAGTGTGGTGAAGATCGCTGAAAGACTGATCCTCAGATCGTTTTTATGAATCAATGTTTAAAAAAATATGATTTAAATACATATATGTACATAAATGTATATATATATATATTGTTTTTTATTGTGTGCGATACAGGTACACTTGAAACTTAATCCTTATTTACCTTGATATACTGTATATACCTGGATATACTGTATTATATATTGTTTATTCTTAATGCACCTTTTCCTCCTTGTTTGCACCTTTTTTTGACTTCTATGCCAATATGTGACAAGTGAATTTCTCCGCTGTGAGATCAATAAAGCTCATCTAATCTAATCTAATCTAATCTAATCTAATCTAATCTAATCTAATCTAATCTAATCTAATCTAATCTAATATATATATGTTATTTAAATGTATAGTTTTAATATTAATTTAACCAAAACCCTCTACTCTCTAGCTACTCTCCCTTAGACACATTGTAGCCTTGCTGCTCTGAGGCCTGAATGAAATAAATATTAGTAAGTAAATGTAAAATCAGCTCTCCTAAATCAATATATGTGAAATCAATAGGAGATTTTTTTTAACCACAACTGGACCTTGAAAGTTAACTAAAAATCCTAAGAGAAACTTGAAACAAATGTAAATTAGGATGTACAGTAGTCAAAACCCAGATTTCAATGAGTTGACTTGATATGGGTTGTACATTCAACACATCTGCAGTCTGAGTATTTTCATATGACTGTGGATTGTGGATATCTGAATTCTCGATATCATCAGAATGTGATTCATCTCTTAATAGGCAACAGATCTCCCCACTAGCTATTAATTCAAACGCTTCACAGAAGGAGGGCTGTAAATAAAAGCATGAAAATAAGGCATTTTCCTGCAAATAGGAAAATCTGCAACTTACACAGCTGGCTCCATTAAAATCCACTTAACAGAAATGAGAAATGGCCATTTGGCTTTAATATGTATACAGCTCTAAATATAAATCAGAATTATGGCACATTTTTTTAATTTTGTTTAATACTCCAGAGGTTCTTTCAGACCTGGAGTCAAATGTAATCATTACTAAAGTCTGAGAGGATGCTGGAGCAATGTGAGCAGATAGTGGCTCTGAAGATGAATTATGTAAAGATTAAGCTCTTTCCAAGTGTTTCATTGTTTAAATGAGTTGTTCTTAGGAGCTCAAGTTTATCAGGGAATTTTCTTCCTAAATTAAGATGCCTTGTAGTAAATCTATCTGCTGACTCAGCCTGCAGAAAACCTCCTGAGATCTAATAAACGTTGTGCTTCTGCAGCATGAAATCTCTTCACCAGCTCCACTGATGCGATAAGGAGAAATATGTCATTTCTTTCAGCCAAACGGGGTCTTTATTTTCTTTTCTCCAATCTGGGTTCAAGTCAGCAAAGAGGATAAGAAAATAAATTTAAGAACTGATGGTGGAGAAAAGTTGGGGAGGAAATTGTCACTTCTGATCTCAAATCACTTTCGGAGCAATTTTCTCTAATTTTTTTTGTTGTTGCAGTTTTCTACCCTCTTTTGTTCTTCTCTTAGAGAAGTTTCTGGAGCTTCAATTGCTGAACATAAATATTCAAATTTTTATCCTTTTAATTTCTAAAATAAGCTCAGTAAGTAGTCTGAAAGTCAGAAAACCAACTTCAAACTGATCCTCCTTTCAGAGCAAAAAGGAATAAAAAGCTTTCAAACAACATTTTTATCTATGCAATTAAAACAAACTCAATTCGATGTTTCCTTTAATCAGACCCAGTGAGCAGGCATCCATCCAGGAGAGACAGAGTTATTACTTTATAACAAAAACACAGCTAAGTGTCTGATTTTCACAAGCCATCAAATGTTGGAATGAAATTACAGAAATTCAGAATCTGTTTTTGGAATCTGTCCCATAAATTTTAGCTATGCAACAACAACAATGTTCTGGTGAACAAAAAGTAGAAGTTTCTGCATCATTATTTCTTCTCCATCAGCCGTGGTTTTCTAGCCTGACGAAGTCCTACT